ATCAGGTAACAGGTGCCAGAAGACCCAAAACAAACAAACATATAGTAGAGAACAAGGGAGGTCAGAGCAGAGACCAGAAACCCATCTGTAGACAATAGGACATCCCTTCACAGAAAGGCCACAAGGAAGGGATGAGTCAACCAGGACTCAGTATAGCACTGATGAAACACACATTATGCCTCTGGTTCTTTGAGGCTTCCTCACCCCGCCACTATCATGACCCCAGTCCTACTTCTCAGTTCTGGCTAGACGGGAGCATGTACACCGGTACAGAGAAGAGCTCACAACACATGGAATCCAGGCCAGAAAACCCCTTAGGAACAGAAATGGGAGTAGCCAGACCAGGAGGGTAAAGGAAGGTGGGAGGAAGAGGGGAGGAAGGGGCAACGGATCACAATGATCGACGTATAACCCACCCACCACCCACCGCTGGGGATAAGCAAGAGAAAAGTGGGTGAAGGGAGACAGTGTACATGTAAGATATGAAAATAATAATTTATAATTTATCAGGGGGTCACGAGGGGGGAGGTGGGGAGGGAAAAAAGAGGAGCTGATGCCAAGAGTTCAAATAGAATATAAATGCTTAGAAAATGATGATGGCAACGCATGTACAAATGTGCTTCATACAATCGATCTATGGATTGTTATAAGAGCTGTAAGAGCCCCCAATAAAATGATTAAAAAGCCAACCAAACCAAGGAAACAAAGACCCTGGCCATCCACCTGGAGAATATTTTAAAGTCTGTGGCCATTGATCTTGCCGGGCATTCTTTTTTCTCTTCCCGGCAGGTGTGTTCCTTCTCTACCCGCTCCCCAAGCTTTTAGCCATGTCTGACGGGGCAACCGTTACAGTCTTACGTGCTGCAAATAGATCACCCGAATGATGTTCTTTTGGAAGGAGCTCTGGGGACACAGTGGTTACCGATTGGGCTGCGATCGGAAAGGTCAGCCGTTTGAAACCACCCGTCGCTCCCAGGGGAAAAGACGGGGCTTGCTATTCCCACAAACAGTTACAGTCTCAGAAACTCAAAGAGCAGTTCCTCTCTGTCCTGTAGGGTCGCTTTGAGTCGGGACTGACTCAGTGGCAGTGAGTGTTGATGTCCTCCCACAGCTCATCGGGTCTCTATTATTAATGCTCAATGTGTCAAGACTGTCCTTGAGATGGTCTTCAAATTTCAGGTGGAATAGACTCAAGGTCGTACGTTCGCTCTCAGGGACTTGTTTTCATTTTCTTCACCTTCAACCTGAACTTACATAGGCGCAATTGATGGCCTGCTCTACAGGTGGCCGCTGGACTGCTTTTAATTCCTGATACTGAACTTCTCCATTGTTTCTTCCATAATCAATTTAATTTCTTGGTCTCCTATCTGGAGAAGCCCGTGTAGCCTCTTAGGTTGTTGGGGAAAAGGTATTTCAGACGAAGAAGTCAGTAGGCTTGCAAAATTCTATCATGCGATCTCCAGCTCCATTTCTATCACCAAGACCATATTACCCGACTACTGTCCTTTCCTGTTTGTTCCGATGTTTGTATGCCAAGCGACGATGATATTCCTCAATGCATGTTGACTGCATGTTTGTTTCAATTTCATATTGAAGACATGTTGGTAGAATTCTTCAATTTCTTCCTCGTTGTCTTTAGTGGTTGGCGCTTAAATATGAATAATAGTTGTAGTGATTATATTTCTTTGTCTGTGGATAGATATATATTACAGTGCTGTCTGTGATAGGATTTCAAGATAGACCTTGAAACATCCTATTTGATGACGAATGTAATGCTATTCCCTCCACTTCATTTTTGGCATAGTAAACCATACGGTTTTCTAATTCAACAGGGTTGATGCCAGTCCACTTCGGCAAACTGATGCCTAGCACGTCCATTGTTAGTGTGGTAGTTACATAATCTGGTGTCAACTTGAGACTATTAAGAGTGAAGGGGTGGAGTTTAGCATGTCAATCAAGTCACAGCTTGATGACCTCATTGGGAGGCGCTACAGAGATGAACAGTTCACTGGAAGCCAAAGACACTCTCAGCTTGTCTTCCTGCTGACAAGCCACATGGAGACCTCTGATGGAACCAGAGCTCTGGAACTGAGGGAGCTACATGGAGACGCGTGCTAGTGCTGAGATGTTTCCACCACCACTGGTTCCACAAGACTTTCCCCCTACTGCACTTAGCATCATTGCATGACTGCATGAGTCTAAAGAGGAATTTATGGACTAGGATTGACATATGGGGTAATATCGGACTTAAGGACTTGCTCTGAGCTGGGCTGGGTTGTTCTCTTGATGTACAATTGCTCTTTGATATAAAGTTCCCTCTTACACACACAAGAGTGTCTCTGGGTTTGTTTCTCTCGTCCACCCGGACTAACACAGTTAGATACGTTCCATTCATCTGTGATGGCGTCCAATTTTCCTAGAGTCCTATTTCTTTTTTTTTTTTTTAACATTTTATTAGGGGCTCATACAACTGTAATCCCAATCCATACACACATCAATTGTGTAAAGCGCATTTGTACAT